CTGAGGAGAGCTCTCTCCGTGGTTACTACACTGGAGGTCAAGGAAAAGGAAGGCGGTGAAAGAATTTAAGGTTTTATGAATGAACCAAGTGATTTGTCTCTCAGTTATATTTCTACTTAATTCTTAAGTTAATTTGTGGATTACATTATTTCATATTTCATATTACTGAATATTTTATATAAAGTTTGTATGGGATTATGGCAAGCCTGAAGAAGTGTCTGTTATAATTCTTGGATTTACTTTCTATGTATAATACAACTTATCATATAAAATCTCATTTTAAAGGGAATAAGAAATTTGACATTGCCGGAGAGTAGCTTGCCCTATCCAACACAAAAGAATGATCATGTTTCCCATTGTGGGAAAAGGTTTGTTTTGGCGACATTTATTGACTTACATTATCCTGAAATTAAAAAAAAAAATGCACACAAGCAGACATTAGCAATGACAGTTAAAATACAGTAACACAGTATGACATTTCTAGCCACATGAGGGAAAGTTAGTGTCTTTACTGTTGTTCTTATCCCTGTCTCTTTTCCTTAAGCTTTCCTGAGTTGGCAGGAGCTTTGGTTTATCCAACCCATAGTTATATTTATGGCTAGTAATGAACACGTATTGTTGTTCATATTTTCTGGAGCTGTCAGTCTTTCACATTGAGGAGAAGAACAACCCCTCTTCGGAACTCTGCAGCTTCCAACCACTTCCTGTGTCCCCATTTCCTCCTGTCCCTGAGTTTACAGTGGTCTATTTGTGCCCTTAACTTCCTGCGCTATGCATGGGAAATGCATGCACTTTTATTAGGATAAGCAATTAAACTGCCCCACAATTTCTTCCAGCTTTACTATGTGTTGAATGCCCTTCAGCACTGAAATACTCAACCTGTCTCCAAACCGATGGATAGCTTCCCCTACGTGTCTGTTCCCTAAGCGCTGTGCTACTGAGCTTCCTGTGTGATCTGATTATTGTTGTGTATGTTTCTCTTCCTCTAGCCTCCCACCATTCAGTACCTCATGCTGCCTGGGTGGTCCCTGGCGTTCCAGCCTGGTCGACATTTCATAGGTTCACTAATACTCATCTCTTAATTCTCTTGATACAATTTTATTTTATCCTGAATTATGTGTGTCTGTGTGTACTTGTTTGTATATGTAAACATGAGGGCAGCTGCCTGCAGACGTCAGAAGGAAAACTTTTCAGAGTGGCGCTACTAGTGGTTTTGAAGCAAACAGTGTGGGTGCTGGGAACCTAACACATGACTTTTGCAAGAGCAGTGTACACTCTCAACCATTGAGCTGTACCTGTGCCTCATAACCAGTTAATCAGTTTTAGTGCCTTTGTGTGCTTATGGCAGTCCTGCCATGTGTCTCAGCCTTGCCTAGATCTTTGTGCATTTGTGACCGTCCCTTAGAGATATTTGTAGAAGCAAAGGCTTGAGGATGTAGCTCAGTTTGTAGTTGCTTACCTGACGTGCGCAGAGCCTTGGATCCTGTCAACACCTTGTAAACTGAGTGCCTTCGATTGGCATTTGTATGCAGTCTTAGAATTTTGGAGGGAGAGGCAGGAGGATGAGAAGTTAAAGGGGCAACATAGCAAGGTTGGGGCCCGCCTGACAGACATGAGCCTTGGTCTTTAAAAGGATAAGTTGTAGAAGCAGAATTGCTAAACAGATTAAAGACATTACAAAGTCTATTGATGCCAAATTCCCTTCAGCCCCTGCTGAATCTGTTTGTATCTTAACTGAACGTTGCCAATTATTTCACTGAACTTTGTCATTAGTGTTTTAATGATTCATTATTCAAAAACTGACAATTGATTGTTTAATTGCACACTTCTTATTAAAGTCTTTCAGCATCCTTGTCCACTTGAATCGTGTTTCACATGGTTGAGCCTGTTTTTGTCGGTTGATGGTTATTTGTAAGGACAAATCACTGGTGCATTTTGTGTATTTTGAGACAGCTGAGGCTGTCATGGAGTTACTGAATGGGTGTTCGTTCTTTAATTAGTCGGCCACTGACTTTCCTGTGTACTGCTATCTGATCTTGCTGTTCACCTGCCTTCTCCTCTGACCTGTAGCCAGTTGATTGCCAGTGTGGCGATGACACTCACACTGGGACCAGGAAGATGGCAGGGATTGTGTAGGAGTCATCTGTGTATTTTAATTCACTTACCAAACATTTGTACACGCCACATTTCATTTAGTGGTTTGGGAATGGGCTACTCTGACCTTCCCAACCCCTGAAAAATTGTGTGTACTTTCCCCCATGACCACAGTGCAATGAACTACTTTTATTTCCTCCGTATTCCACTCATGCGCTTTACAGTGAAAAGTAACAGCAGTTCAAGCAAATACCAGTTTGAATTTACATTTATTCTCACTCTGTATGACCTCGAAGGCAGGAGATATGATAATCATCTCCTGGATATGTTGTAAGATTTAAACATCTAGCCAACACAAAGCAATTGGTTAGTATTTACTGGCAGATGCTATTGTTACCATTGTAGTTTTATCTACTAGAATATTCCTGATGGATTGGAGTGTTAATATGAAGGTCTAAATTATTTCTTATTTCATACTTAACACATGTGTTCCTACTATAGAAAACTTACTTCTTTTTATGTGCATTGTGTATGGAAATGTGTATGCAGATATGGCTGACCATGCCGGCATGTGTGAACCAGAGGTTAATGCTGATGAGCCTTCCTGAATCCCTCTCCACAGCACTTCTGAGACAAGCCTCTCACTGGACTTGCAGCTCATCTTTTCAACTACACTTGCTGGTCAGAGCATCTCCAGGATCCACTTGTTTAGCATACTCAGCACTGGGGCATGCATCCCCACACTGAGCATTGGCATGGGCCCTAGGCCTGTGAGCTCTGGTCCCCATGCTTGCACACCAAGCACTTCACCCACTGGGCTGTTTCTCTAGCTCCCCAGGGAGCTTCATGAACAGATTTCTGCATTTTTAAGAGATGCCCTTTAGAAAAATAAAATGTAAACAGCATGTCCATGTTTCTTTGGATATTTTAATCCATTTTCCTGCAAATTTTATGGCTACTATATTATTTACAGTTGAATAATATTCGTGTGTGTGTGTGTGTGTGTGTGTTTGTGTGTGTGTGTGTGTGTGATGTGTACCAAATCATTCATCTGCTGATGTGCAACTTGGTTGATTTAAATTAATTTCTATCATAAATAAAGCAGCAATAAACTTAGAGGTGCAATATCCCTACAGTAGCTTACAGAGTTCTCTGGTTACATTCCCCGGAGTGAAACTACTGGATCATGTGGTAATTTTCTTTTTAAATTTGTGAAAAGTCTTCACACTGGCTTCCATGCTGGCTATATTAACTTGCATTCCCATCAAAAGTGAAGAAGGTCCCTTCTTCCCTACATCCTTTCCAACATTTGCTGCTGGATTTCTTGATGAAGCTTTTCTGACTGGGGTGAGGCAGTAGCTCACAGCCGTTTATTACAGGAGACAGGAAGAACTGAATGTAAGTCATGGACATGAGTTGTGAAAGAGGATATAATTATTTCTCTAGTTTTAAGCTCTGTTTTGGGTCTCTTCCTTGCTCTTTCTCGTGTGTGTGTGTGTGTGTGTGTGTGTGTGTGTGTGTGTGTGTTGTGGATAAATGCATAAGAATAAATTCTATTGTTGAAAGTGTAAAATCTATACCCAATCCACAATTGTTGAAAGAATGTTCAACTATCTAGAAGTTCAGTGACACGTATAGACTTTGGATCTGGTAGATGCCAGTGTGTTTTTGTTTGCAAATTTTTATAATGAAGTTCATAAAACAAAATAAACTAAAAACTTACAGGTTTATGGCAATCATTGTAATCCTTAATCTCAAAATTCCTATATTTTAAAAATCATTATTTGATCAACATAATTTTAATATTTTAGACTAAAGCATTGCTTATTACCAATTAATTCATACTTCAAATTATAATCCCTCCCAGTGTGCTTTATTACAGGTAGTATAGCCAATAGCTCCTGAGTTTTAAAGGCAAAATTCCTATTCACTGGGGACCATCATCCTGGGATAGGTGAATTGTTTTGTCACCCCAAGATATAGTTCACGTAAAATATCTTTCCTGGGATGGAGAGATGGCTTAGCAGTTAAAAGCACTCGCTGCTCTTCCAGAGGACCTGGGTTAAATTCCCCGCATTGTCATTCCAATTCACAGCTGTCTGTAACTCCAGTTCCAGGGGATCTGATTCTCCCTTCCGGACTCCACAGGTGCTACAAGCACATGGCTCACAGACACATACATTCAGGCAAAACACCCATACACATAAAATAATAAAACATCAATCCTTATGTCTATAAATAAATACACATTACACCATAAAACAATAAAAAAGGAAGAGTACACATATGATTCACAAAATATCCAAATTTCCCCAAAGAGGATACACTTTATTTCTAAGTTATAACTTAACGGAAAGGGGCTGACAGTCCTGTAGGTATGAGGCTCTGTGTTCTTCCCCCTGTGTGGTTTCTACATTAGTTCCCTTTTTCATGACTTTCACCAAATGCAGAAGTGGTTAAAGGTGAAAGGGTTTACTTTGGCTGAGGATTTCAGAGGGTGCCACCCATCACATTAGGGATGCTAACATGAAAAGGTGCGCCATTTGTTTACATGGAAGCTTGAGGCTATGGTTTCTCATGCCCTGGTGGACCAGGGAGGGAGCAGGGGTAGATGGGAACTGGAGGTACGTGTAACACTCAAACACCACCCCCCTAACGACTGATACCTGCCAAGTGGACACTGCATCCCAAACGTTTCAAAATGTCACACAAACTGCAGCATCAGCTTCAGAGCACGTGTTCAAACATCCAAGCTTGTCTGAAGCATCTCACATGAAATCAGTTAGCACGTCCTCAGCAGAACACACTGTTCACAAGATGTCTTTTAAAAGCACAACAAGACAAAACCTTGCCGCTTAAAACTGACAAATTATAGCAACCAAAATTGACTTTAATGAGATACTTACATCTGTAAAAATTCTTCAGAACCACGTACACTTAGAAGACACTCCTTGGGGGAAAGCTGCTCATTTGCACATAAAAGCAGTGTTTCACGAATTAGGTCTTTGACAAGATAATTAGCTGAAAACAAAAGTGAATAATAAAAGTGAGTAAGAGCTTATGAAACGTTGACCGTAAAGCTTTTGAGCACAGAACCTGATGATAATCACATTATAAAGTCTTGTAGCCAGCTAGCGCCACCAAGGGGGAATTAAAGAACAACACATTTATTTGTCTGTTTATTAGCTTCATGGTTGTTTTAGATAAAGCGAGCTTGCAATCATTTTCAAGTTCAGTCCTGTCTGAATGGAAAATGTCAACGCTAGTTATTGTGTTTCTCACATCATAGCTCTGCACAAAAGAAATTCATAGGAGGCTGGAGAGGTTGCTCTGAGGCTGAGTTCAATTCTCACACCCACATGGCAGTTTACAACTGCCTGTCACTCCAGTTCTAGGAGATCCGGGGTTGCGTTTTCTGTCCAAGAGCACCAAATACAGAGCACGTTCGGGCAAAATATCCATACACATAATAATAAAATAAAATAAATTTTTAAAAGAAAAAGAAAGAAATGTTTGGGTCTGGAGAGGTGGCTCGGTGGTAAAGAGCACTTTCTGATTCCGCAGAGAACCCAAGTTTGGTTCTGATCACCCACATCTGGAGCATCAGAGATGCCAGTAACCTCAGTTCTGGGCGATATGGCACCCCCTGATGGCCTCAGAAGGCACTGCACATACATGTTGCAGGTGCAGACACATGGGCCCATGCATATAAATATTTAAAAATGTAAACATAAATATTTTAAAATATATGCTATTGACTTGATAGTAAGATAATTTTACTATCATCAAAATGTGGTTCTCTGTTTTATGCTAGCCCTGGATAGAATACAGATGTCATTATTTTGAGTGAATTTACATAAACATGTTCTCCAACCTCTGGGGCTCAGATTCCTTACTAAAGAGTTTGTGGTGCAATAGTCTCTGCCATTTAGGGATCTGACACATATTTTTATTTTAGCCCATTCTATCGAGAGACAGGCAGCCTGTAGGTTGTTGGGCAAACAGTGTGTGTGCTTGAGGGCTCAGCTGTTTTTCTTGCTTTGGAGAAATAAGACAGTTTGGCAGAGAACAAGGTACAGGAACAATGACACAAAGAGACCAGCTCTGTGCTACAAGGGGGTCGTGAGTTTCCCCACGTGTGTTCCCATTTTAGCCTCATGTCTTTGGTGTATTCCTACTCTTAAACTCTATAAGGAATGATTACATTGTTTCAAAACTCTTTTCTTTGCTGTGTCAGCCAGCACGAGTTGGTTTCAAGCCAGATGTTCTTAACTGGAATATCAGCTCACCATGTCTGCGTCTGTAACCCTCTGTACTTATTCAAAGCCTCAACTGGAACAAGAAAGAAGAAGGGACCTTGACAAATAGTAAACAGTGAAAACATTTCCTACCCATTGTGTAGCTGAATATCCTCGCCTGTCGATAAGTAATAACCTATGTAGTCACAACTAGATGTTAAATAAGCAAGAGAGTATTACTCTTCAAAGTAAAAGGCCACAGAGCAAAAAACAAACAAACAAAATAATCAGAACACTATATGACTTTAAAGAAATCTCCAAGTGGTAGAGAGGGAAAAGTCCAATAAATATGATATAATATAAATTTCTAGGAACCATATTCAGGGGCTAATCTTGGTCAAGGGTTCTGATAATTATGGTGGTATGGGCTGCACAGGCATCTTAAACTTCTCACTGTGGGAGCAGATACACTTTTGCTTCCTTTCCCACAATTTATTCACACATCTGAACAAAGTACTTGCTCCCGCTGGGTAGGAAACAAACATTTTCACTTACACGCCATCCTCACTTGGAAAATTTTAGAAATTCCATTTATTTTAACTGCTGAAAACTTGCTCCACCTGCTATTATTAATAGCAAGGAAACAAAGACTTCCTGAGAGCTATGTAAAGAGAGTCCCTGGTCTCAACTCAGATGTCTACAATAAATAGCTCCTGGCTGACTTGCTTTTATTTCCCTACAGGATAAAACAGTACGAAATGATGGGTCTTTTGAATGATTTTGAGGCTATCTATTGGTACTGAGATTTGTGTATCTGCTTGCAAGTTTTCCTACCTTGTGGCAGAAGATGAAGGGTCTGTGCCGAGTTATTAGTGGAAACATTCACTCTGAACTTGGTGTCAGCAAAGAGCTGGGAGGGATAAGCTGTAGTGATGGCCCAGATCTTTCCAGAATTGGAATTAATGTCACTTGCAGGAAATGACGCTCTTATTCTGGGGGAAAAAGGGGGGGGGGCTTAGGACATTATTTGCATTGTTTTCCATTTTGAAAACCACCACCTAAGCATAAGGGGCTCCAGCAGATCCGAAAAACCCTGAAGACCAGGAAATAGCCACTTTCCCTCGGCGGCATGGTGCAAAGACTCAAGCTGGCTTGGTAGAAATTTCAGCCAAGAACAAGGACAGGGGAAGCTCGGGGCTTCTGGGGGATGCTCCAGTTGAAATTGTGAAGGCTATGTTTGCCTCCTGTGAAACAGGAGGATCCATCCAGTGCAGCATCCATGGCAGCCTGATGCCAAGGCTCCTCCTCTCAGATCCCTTGCATGCCTAGTTTCCCTAAAGCTGTAAGTACACTGTGGACCAGAGACATGAGTAAATAAACTGATTCTTTTGTTGGTGCCTAATTCACAACACTTTCCCTGTTGCTCCACAATCTTTAAGTTCTGGATTTTAGAAAAACAATTGAATTATGAGTGCATGCTGAAAAATTAGCATACATTGGAGTCAAAGAATTGCTAAAATGTTAATCCTTGGAGCAGACACATTGGATTTGAATCCTCAGGCTTCTTTGTTGGAGTATTAGAGACAGGGGCATGCTATTTGTGAATACAAAAGGAGCCACTACCACCTACTTCCAAGGTTTTATGGGAGGGTTGCAACAGAAAAGGCATAAACGATTTACAGACTCTAAACCATGTAGCATACCATACTGATCAGACTGTATTGCCCTGACTGGTCCCTTCAGGCCCGTGTTTGTTTAATGCCATGTGTAGAACACACTACGAAGATGCTAATAAGCAGAAAATGCTTTCCACAGTGGAATGAAATCTTGCTGCTACTTATTTGTGTTGGTTTTACTGACATTTAAACTCTTCTTAAATGTAATATTATGATTCTACATTAGCCTTTGAAACCTTCCTCTTGTGGTCCATGTGAAATATTCTCCATGGCCTCAAATGGCAGTGTGTTTGAACACTTGGTCCGCAGATTGTGTTGGAAGTAGAAGAACGTTTAGGATGTGCAGCCCAGCTGGAAGCAGTGTGTTGGTGCAGGTTGAGCCTTGAGGTGGATAGCCCAGGGTCTCTTCCTGTCCCCTCTCTGCTTCACATACTGGCATCTATATGAAAAGATACTGTTCAGTGGTTGGGAAACACCCGATGCTGGGAACCATACTTGGGTCCTCTGCAAGAGCAGCAAGTTCTCTTATAACTGTGGGGCCATCTCTTAGTAATTAAGGCATCAACATTTTTGTCTTCAGTTATTCCAATTTAAGAATAGAAAGGACCCTTTGGATATTTGCTGTGTAAATTGCCGAGAAGTTAGTGAGATTTTAAACATTTATATACAGCTTTGAGGTGTTTTGTTATATATATATATATATATATATATATATATATATATATATATGTTTTAAGTCTTCCAATGTGGTTGTCAGAGACACTTGTTTGTTTGGTTTTGATTTTAGCTACCTGCAAGTCATTTTATTTTTATCTTAAAGCAGAAGCCTATGTTATAAATGAATGAAGAAGATGCAGGAACAGAAATATCCTTTAAATTAATTAGTGAGCCAATCTTTAACCTAGTTCCATCACTTAGTAGGAAGCCAAAACCTTTAAATAAATAGATTTTTTTTTCTTATATTTAAGACAAAAGATTTAAGGGAATGAAATTAAGAGGACTAAAGAAAATGCATTACATTTTCAAATTGACAGAAAAAAAATCCCACTAGTTCCATGGTAACAACAGGAGAAAAGCAATCACCTTTATATCATAATATTAGTGTTTGGATTAGCAAGGAGACCAAGGACTTTACTGAAATGTTCTCTAGAAATGCATGATGTTTTCAATGGAAAGAAACACACTTGCTTATTCACTTGGTGGCAACACAGTTGAGAGAGGACTCAGCTGACTTCCTATGGGAGGCTGAACCTCTACCAATGTAGGCCTGAGCTACGGGTCAATGCCGCAGATATTTATGAAATGAAATGAAGGTGTGAGTATACCGAAACTCAAACTACCAATGGACAAGGGCAGTTCTGACAGAGGAAGCGATTTTTAATCATCATTTTAATGGAAACATACTTGTTTGAGTATTAAAGAGAAAAGGCAGTTATCAAGGTGATCAATGACAGTTTGTCAAAAAAATTATTTCATTGCATTAGCAAGCTACAGGGAGTTGACATTTTGCACGCAGAGCTAATTACCGGGTGGATCGAAAAATAGAGACGTTTATTCAGACACAGAAACTTCAATATTTATTAAAAGAGCAATACTCACTCTCTTACTTTGTTACAAAAGGAGGCCAGATTCTTGTTACTCCCTTGGGGTACTTCAACTATTTGAATGGGACAACCAACTTGCTGGAAGTAAAAATAAAAAAAAAGTTAAATTAATACAGCTCAATATAGAGCAAATGTCCACATGTTTATGTAATTTTATTTTATTTTATTTTTGCAATGAACATTTTGGATTTAATTTTACCCTTTTTAAATTCTATTGAAGAAATATTTACATACAGAAAAATGTATAGATCTTAGGTGTGCAATTGTAGTTCTCACGAATGTGCACATCAGTGTTATCAATAACGGGGGAATATATTGAACAAATCTGTCCCTTTTAAAGTTTCCCCGCATCTCTGTTGGATTATTCCACCAAGCTATTTGTAATTACCAGTGTTTAGAGTTCTGTTATCATGTATTACTTACATATGCTCTTTTTACTTTTTGGCTTCTGTTACTAAGTGATGTATCTTTCTAAATCTCTCCCCGTAGCCACCTATCATTGGCATGGAATCCCATGATTCCCTCGTTCCTCTTCCTCCCGATAGGCATTCTTGATGGCTTTTGGGAACTATGAAGAAATCATCTTTTCATGGCCAGGGCCTTTGTAGCCACGTGTTTAGTTTGCTCGTGGTATATGGATTAAACTTTCAGTTAGAGGGTGACTGCTTCTTTTGCTATGAAAACATGGCCTTTTTCACCTCTAGAAATGCGTCCTTAAACCATGGTTTGCTGATATTAAAAGCACAGCAATCCTTTTTAGGCTGAGAATTAAATGCTTGGTTATTTTTCTTTTCAGTCTATCTGTCAAATTAGTCTTTTTTCTGGCAGTAACTGACCTTTACGTTCTTTAAACGTAGTTTGTTATTTTCTGTTTGTTGTTTGGAATTCTTAGCCATTTATATTTAATGGCTTTATGGAAATGGTCTGTTTCAACTCATCATGTCTACATGTTTGTATGTGTGTTTCTAATTTTAGTTTTTTTTAATTTCTCTTAATTATTCCTTTTTATTTAATTTTCTATTTATCTCTTGGGTCAATATAAATTCCATTAGTAAATTATTATACCACTGTCTTGGATTCCAATATCTCTGGCTTCCCCTGTCTCTGGCTCCCAGGGCCTCTGTTTCCACTCTCTGGCTACCACAGTCTATGACTAACAGTGCCTCTGGCTCCCACCGACGGTTCCTTTTCTCTAGTTCTCGTTGCCTCTGGTTTCACTGTCTCTGACTCTCACCTTCTGATGAGAAGTTTCACTCCTTCAGATGGTTGTCACACTTCCTGAAATCTCTTCCTAACTTCTTGCAAAACTTCTTTTTTGTCATTAAATATTTGAATGCCAATTGCCTATATTGGATGACTGCATCCACTCGCAATTTGTTTCTCTTTTGACTCTATAATTACTTATTTTCAACTAAATCTGAGCAATTTTCTCAACGATATTCCTTGAGCCTTCCAAATACCCCATTCTTGGCCGAAATGTAGTAAATCCCCAGAGACTTCTGCTCCCACTGCGTTGCTTCCTCGTAGATAGCACAATGCCCAGCAATCCAAGCACTTCTGAAGCCAGGAGCCAAGGGCCCAGCTTAGGAATGTTGCTGCCATGCAGACTCCACCAGACTGCACGGCTGCCGGGAGCTGCCCTTCAGGCAACAGACCCGGATACGGACGGCTCTTAGGGAACCGCGTACTATGCTGCCCCATGTCCCAAGCCTGAATTTAGCAGCTTTTATCATTTTGTCTAATTTTCACAGTATTTGGAACACTAGGCACATTTACGGATTGTTGTACTGTCACGATATGAATTAGATATCCTTAAGATATATTCAATGTTGATTCAGATAGTCTGAGGTGGCATTTCTCATGCAATGACCTCCTTGCAGAATTAGGTATTCTTTTATCTCATATCTGTTGCTTTACTGTTTGTCAGCGGGTGAGTTGGAGTCACATTCTAGAACTCAAGAAATCTATTTTTGTTGCTCCAGACTCCTTCTGTCCAGCATATCAGAGTATTATTTTGGTTCCTCCTGTATATATAGTAGCTGCAGTGTGCACGCTCTCTCTCTTCCTTCTTGCATGCGTGCATGGGTGTATGCATGCGTGTATGTGTGTTTGTGTGTGCGTGTGTGTGGTCAGAGGCTGGTGTCAGGTATGTTCCTCCATGAGTTCTTCACCCCTTTATTGATGGTCACTCACTAAACCTGTAATTCATGGACTTGGCTAGACTGGATGACTAGAAATCTAGAGAACTGCCTGTCTCTGCCTCCCCAACACTGGGATTGCAGACTCATGCCCCCACACCTAGATTTGTATGTGATTGCTGGGGGTCTCAAGTCCTCGTATTTACTTCCCATCTCTCTATTCCCCTCTTTCTTCTTTATTGTGACCGACTTTTGGCTTTATCTAGACACTATGAGCAGAATAACTCTATGGTTATCACAGTGACCATAAAGTAATCAAAGAAAGGATTAGAGTCAATGGCACAGCAATTACTTAATTACTTTGTCTGGTTCCTATACAGCTTGCCTGCCAGTCAAATAATTTAGGAACTTCTGTGCACAAGGATGTTTCCCCCTGCTGCTAAAGATAATAAGATTTTAAATCAACATAGCTTGACTCAAATTATAAATGTGATGAAATATATCTGTACTTTTACAACACAGGAAGAAGAGATAAATGCCACCAGATAAACTTTGAGTTATATTTTTATCCATTAAAATGCATTATGTAATGACTATTTAATATGAGTGCTCTGTCTGCCTTTACACCTACACACCTCAAGAGGGCATCAGATCCCGCTGTAGAAGGTTGTGAGCCACCATGTGGCTACTGTCGATTGAACTCAGGATCTCTGAAAGAGCAGTCAGTGTTCTTAACCACTGAGGGATCTCTCTAGCCATATTCTAATATAATATACTATCATGGGTTATACTAATATAACATATTAATAGTTGTGTTGATGTGGGAACTTGAAAACTAAAAGTGAAGTGCTTTATATATTAAATTTAAAACATGGGATTTGTGAAAATAAAATGTTCTAAATAATACTAATGGGTTTTCCTACTTGAGATTATTTAGCTTTATTACCAACTAATCCGATCCTCTACTGAGTGATTGTTTCCATGCTCGTGTGTATGATACATACCTCTGTGTCGTCCAGTGATGCGTTCTCCTGTGCCCTGGGTGGAAGAGAATCTTTAGAGGACAGGAGAGGAGGATCTACAAGGTTCAAACCTCCACTTCCTTTATTCTCGCTATCGGGTGTGGCGTCTACTGAGTGTGATGGATAATGAGGGAAGATGCTGCCCACAAATCCTACAGGGCCCTTGTGATGTTCATTTCCTGACTGTCTTCGTAGATTACGGTTCTCCAGGCTGCTGGGTGCTGGAGCTAGAGCACTGGACCCGGGAACCTCAGCACCATGACGTTTCTCTGTGCTATTTCTCCAGGAGTCTCCCTCATTTATGATCTGATGCATTGGTAACACAGCAGGATTAAAACCAATGGCTGATGCTTTCCCATGCCAAAGCTGGGAGATGTCAGGGCTCTGAGCAGTGAACTCATCCAAGTGTCTAGGGTGTGTTCCATATATGGATGGCCAGTTTGAACCCAAGTTTGGTGCTCCTGGCACAAAACGTGGGTTTTCTTCTTTGTCACTCTCACACAGGGGGATTTCGTTATTGATCTCCTCCACTAGCTCATCAAAACCCAGCCTGACTTGGTTGGAAGGAAGGCACTGGTTTGCATGGTGAAATTGTTGGTGATCATATCCATCTTCCTGTGGTTCAATGTGATTTGGGTCTGTTTGCCGCCTATATGCCATTCTTGATTTTGTGCAACTGAGAGGATTTTCTTGGCCCCAAATATCTTCTTGATTTTACAAATTTTCCTGGAAAGGGGGGTGGGAACAAAACTGTCTTTAGTGACAAAGACTCGCAAGAAAGAAACGTGTTAAGTAACTATGCAAATACTTGGATTGTTCGCTTGGCTGCTGAAAGCTTCCTAGGGTCCTAAAGTAGCCTACGAGAACTGCTGCACAGAGAATCTGATGCTCTGAGGGAGAGAATTGAGCATCATATTCTTTTGATTAGGAAAACAAATCTATCTCAGTTCTAACATGCTTAGTTTTCATCATCATTACTTAGTTTTTTTTGTATGTGTACCACTGAGTGCCTGGTACTGAGGAGTTGGGAAGAAGGCAACAAGCTCCTCCAAACTGGAGTTACAGATAGTTGTGAGCCTCCATGTGGGAGTTGGGGACTAAACCACAGTCCTCTACAAGGGCAGCAAGTGAGTCTAACCACTGAGCAATGCCTCCAACCAACATACATCTTTAATCCATATAAAACCCATCTTCCCCTTGGACTTGACTGCCTTTCTAACTGAGACCAGAGTTTGCTCAGTCATTCAACTTTCTATGTGAGCTCTAGCATGCTGTGAGTTCTAGTGGTAGCTGAACTATCTGTTCGCTATTAGTCGTTATCCCATTCATATGACCAGTCTCAATCTGCCCAACTCAGTGTTACCAATCATCTTACAATAGTTAACTAGAGACTTTCCACTCCAAAACTCCTTAAATATAAGTGATTGCAATTTTTTTGTTCACTTCTCTAGAACTACTTCCATTAAACTCGTTAATGAGTTTCATGCCATTAAATTTTTTTTTCATGCCATTAAATTTAAGAGATTTTTTTTCCTCTCTTTTGAAAAAGGTTGGTACTCTGCAGTATTTGGTATTCATGCTCCGTCCTTTCTTTGCAGTCCCTCGCTGTTACTTTGACTTGCTCCCGACTTGCTCCCGACAATGGCATCCCAAATTTCTCCTTTCTGCTATTTCTCAAGCGCTCCCTTGTCTATGCATCATTTTCTTCCCGAGCCTTTCTGGAGTTCATTTTCTCCTGAGCTATTGCCTCATTGTAGGTTATTCCATTCCTTCTATGTTCTAGACACTTGTTTTAGTTTAGTTTTGTGTATGTGTCTCTGTGTGTGGGTGTGTGTGAAGGTATCTGGAGAGGGCAGAAGAGAGTATCGTATCCTCTCGAGGTGAAGTTCCAGGCAGTTTTGAGCCACTAGCGGGTGCTAGGGCCGGAACTTGGGCTTTTGCAGGAATAGTGAACACACAAAATCACTGACAAATCTCACCAGTGCCATTCTGCAGTTTAATTTATCATTTGCTACCACTCTCCATGACTTCACCGAGGACTACTGAACCTGCTTGGTGTTTCTATTCAATACATTTTTACTGTGGCATCATCTATATAGAGCCTAAAAATACTCATACTACTTGGTAGTATTAAAAGTCAAGATTATTAATTTGTCTGTTTTGACAATTTGTTATTCACGTTACTGTTATGCCTACGTAGGCTTTGTAGAATCACCTTTCAATTTCTTAACTTTGTAAAACTTAAAATCCATTGAGAATTGCCTGGTTAAAATCTTTCAGCTATAACAGTATTTAGTTAAGATGACAGTAATGACTTTATTTGTGTGCTAGTTTGGTATATGGTTACATTTCCACTATAATATGAATTAGTTTAGCTGCTTTATAAATCTCAATTAACTAAGATTCAACTTATATTCCATTGTCCCCAATGGCACAAAATATCCTCAGTCACTCACCTTAAGCCAGACACCAAGGTTTCATCACTGAGTCTTGTCTCTCCTTTATTCTCCTGTGTCTAAAGATCCATCACTTAGTTTCTCATATAAACACATCTTAGGTCCACTGTCCCCTGCATATCACTCCCCACACCTAATTCAAAAACACCAGCCTTCACCTGAAATAAATAACTCTCAAACTGCTTCTGTATTTTCTGAAGCCCATTTTGGTCCTCATTTTCTTTCACATTATAACATTTTATTTCAGACACTAACAGCATATTTCCATGGTTACAGGGTTTTCAGTGGTTTTCCACACAATTTTAAGTCCCTACATGACCTGGCTCTGCTCTCTCTCTCTCTCTCTCTCTCTCTCTCTCTCTCTCTCTCTCTCTCTCTAATCCAGACAGCTCTCCAACTCACCTAGGATTATAGGCATGAGCCACCATGTCCAGACTAGATTAGGCTACAATGCATCTTCTACATTGTACTCCTCCCATGGCAGGGAAAACACTCTTAATTATATTAACATTTCTCTTTTCACTTCTACCATCAGCTGCTTTACTTTTCTCACTTATCACTCAGCACCAAGCATGTTATTCCCTGATAGTAGACGCTCATTTGTGTATTGGTTACACAAAAGAGTCAGCGAATTAAAAAACAAACAAGCAAACAAAAAACACAGAATCAAGAATACAAGAGAACAAAAGTGAAATGAGCCTGGTGTTCATTCCTTCTCACCATGTAAATATGGTTTGCTTATGATAGTTAGCACCTAGTTCTTCCCAATTGAGTGGATCCAGAATCTTCTGGACCTCTTGGCATGCTTCTGAGAGATTACCTTGGTTGTGCTAACTGGTGGTGACACTCCACCTACTGGTGCTGTTGTGGTCCCTTAAATGATTACTGTACTATGCAACTGGAGGGAGGTAGCCAAGAAGCAGCATCTATTTACTCTTCTCTCTTTATGCTTGTGGATGTTCTGTGACAAATTGCTTCATGCTCTGGCTGCCTTGACTTTTCATCATAATGATTGCACCTTTGAACTGTGAGCCTAGAGACATTTGATGCTCCATTAATCATTTAATATATGGGAATTTGCTTTTATTATATTTGCTTTAGAGATTTTTTTTTAAAAAAAATCAGTTAATTAATGAATTATAGTGATCTACACACCCACAAGCAAATTGAGTTGATAGATTTCAAAAGATTTTTAAGAGATTTTATAAAGGCATGCTCAATAAAATATTGAACTGAAACCTTAAAAAAAATTGTGTAGAGGCTGGATAATCGGCTCAGCAGTTCGGAGTACTAGAAACTCTTGCTGAAGACCAGGATGCAGTTCCCAGAACTCACATAGCAGCTCACAACTGTCTTTAATTCCAGTCCAGGGTATCGGATACATTTTTCTGACTTCCACAGGCACTGAATAATATAGTACACAGACATACAAGCAGGCAAGCGCTCATACATATGAGATAAAAATTAATAACAAATATTAAAATATTATTTAAAATTCTTCTAAAATTTTGACTTATGTAGATTCATATCCCCCTTTCAAGGACTGACATTTAAAAAAAATCCTTTTCTGTTTTAGTGACAGCTGTGTTGTACCTTTTCATTAATCTGTCATATCTGTAGTGCACTTTTTCATTTATCTGTCATAAAAGTCAGAATTTTCAATCAGATGAACCTTTGACTTCACCAGCCTGACCCACAGGTTTTCCTTAACTGATGGCCCACTCCTCTTTATTTTATGATGAAAACTGTGGCAATGGTAATATGTTCATCTCATATTGCCAGAGGTCAGACTTACAGTGGACTAATTACCTGGCCTCAAAGAGAAATCAAAGACAAAACAGTCTCTATCAAAGCAAGCAAAACTGACTTTGGTCTCCATCCTCCAAATCCACAAAGGTGACAACATTAGCTAAACAGCTCCAGTGCTTAGAATAGGAGCACAAATGACATTTTCTCAAAAGTACACCGAATTACAGAGGACCTTTCTAAAGATGTCAGTTCGTGGCCCCAAAAGTTCTGGGTATACCTGTTACTTAAATGAACAAAACTCAGAAGACATGCAGAGACTGCGTAATGATGATCTTGGGTTCACACAAACTAGGTAGAAAAACTAAATAGGTAGAAGATAAAGCAGATGAGGATTATATTAGCACTGAGCCCATCAAAGGTACATAAGGTAACCCAACTATATTTCCAGAACGATGCAAGGAAATGTGTAACTATCACAGCTAATGCAGTTTCTGAAGGACTTTGAGCTGGGAGATTGATTTGCAGCCTTCCCTGGGGCCTTTATCTGCTACACTAAACTTGTGTAGGTATCACCAGATGCAAATGAAACCTTTAGAATTTAACCTTACAGAGTTCCCATCTTCTTCCTTGCAATCTGTTGTATATCATCTATATTTGTTACACAGTATGTATTTATAATGTCTTAATATTTATAGAATGTGTGTTCTTTTGATCATTCTATTTATTTTTAAATTTCTAGTTAGAAATTGAATAACATGGTAAATTTTGCAACTCTCCTTGTATTTCTACTTAAGTGAAAGCAAAAGGTCATCAGAGAACAGATTCAGTTGTCATTTTTACAAATCACCCATTTTCTTGAACACTGTTGGTCCTACACAAACCTCTCTTCCTTAACTACCCCTACAGCTTCTTGTGTCTGAATGATTGGCAGCTGTCACTATCCTGGAAAGATACTGACTTGACTCAGATCTATTCCTATCTTTTCACGTGTGCACCAAGCTTTTTCTTCTGGGCCATCAACCAGCTCCCAAATAATGACTCAGAGCCATTATCAGTTCCAAATTCTTAGCTTAGGCACACTTCAGGCTGGCTCTTTTAACTTAAGCGAACCCGTTTCTCCTTATCTACCCTGTCCTTGGGGTTTATTGCCTCTCTGCTGTACATCTTACTTGCACTACTTGTCTGGCATCTGCCTGGCTTCTTGCCATGGGTGTGTCCCTCTTTCTCGTCTCATTCTCTATTTCTTTCCTTTTCTCTCCAGCCCAGATTTCTCCTCCCTATCTATTCTCTCTGCCTACCAACCCCACCCATCCTTTCTCCTGCCTAGCTACTGGCTGTTCAGCTCTTTATTAGACCAATCAGGTACCTTAGGCAGGCAAGGTGAAACAAATACAACATAGCTTTACATAATGAAACACACATCCTTACATCTTAAATAAAAATACAGCATAAACAAAAACAACGCACCTTTACACAGTTAAAGTAATGT